CACCTGGTTACATGCACAAGGCAGAATATAGTTTTTAAAAACATCAAAGGACTTCGAAGTATCTGTAGAATGAGATCCATTTGTATCACACATCTGCAAAGCAACAGGATTTGGATGGCACCGTGCATCATTAGAAGTCAAAGTCTAGCACATTTTACTATGTTCATAAGCTACCTACCAGTCACCCTTTGCTATCACCAGTGCTTTGAGCACCAAAAGATCCATTATCTCTAATGCCTAAGGCATGAGGCTCTTCACTATTAGTCCTAGACTAAGTGACTGGAAGCCTCTGCTTTGAACAGAAACAAATACCCTCCAATAGCAGTTCCCTATAGCATACCTCAGAGCAGCTAAAAAGAGTATCCAGCTCTCTGTGGATAATATAGTTTACAATTCTCCTGTAATTTGCATCTTGAAACATTCAAAGCATCTTGTTACACTCTCCACCCATTAATAAGCATTGCACCCCCCACCACTATGCTGCAGCCATGGAAGGAATGGTAAACACAACTTATTTCAATAACCAACACCAGGCAAGGATTTTGGGAAGGAAGCAAGCAGGTCTCTTGCTCAGTCTCTTGAAGGCTCAGATCAAGTGTAGTACCCCCTCTGCACCAGATGGACCTTCACTTCGAGAGGATTCTTCAACTACAGACAACCCTGCTCCACCCAAAGAGGACCCCCGCGATGAGACTATATGGACTGAGACACTTTTTCTTCAAACCACTTCTTCCACCATTGCGGACCATTATAACAGGCTTGTGTGCATCTATCTCCTTTTTCTCTCAGTGTCGCGAACCCCCTCTCCCCACTTTCCTTTTCCCCCCTCCCCACCAGGCTTAGTTGGCTAACATTGTATCTCCTGTAACCTAGTTGTGTTCCCCTCCTCACCCCCATCCTTCTATTGCTAGTCCCTCTCTCGGGCGCTATGTATTTCCCTACCGGCTTTGTCAGCTTTTTTGGATTCACAATCCTAAACATTTACTAATAAAAGTCAATCTGGCTGATAAATACAAGAAGAGCAAGCATCTGAAACACAAACTTTTGTCTATTTAAGGTTATCAAAAAACAACTAGCACTTTAAGTACACTGTCTTGACAAATTCTGATCAGGGTATTTACAATCTCATTTGAAAAAATATGGAGACCTCCAGCATCACAATGGGAGACCTCCAGCAGGCAATGGGAGAGTCCCTGTTCCCCTGAGCACTACCGGGAGTAACAAGGAACAATGGCCATAAGCTGACTGCGAGTAGATTCAGGCTAGACATCAGGAGGCGCTACTTCACTCTCAGGGCAGCTAGGAGCTGGAACCAACTTCCAAGGGAAGTGGTGTTCGCTCCTACCCAGGGGCTCTTCAAAAGGAGGCTAGACAACCAGCTACCTGGGGTCGTTTGACCCCAGCATCCTTTCCTGCCCATGGCAAGGGGTCAGACTTGATGATCTGCTTAGGTCCCTTCCGACCCTACCAACTATGAAACTATGAAATCACGCTGCCTCAATAAAGCTAAGCTGTGACTTCAGTGTAGTAAAGAGCTGTATCTACGCAATCACCAGTAGCACTTCCTAGAACATCCTAGGCTTTTCTTGGAAGCTGCTCGTCTAAGTATGATCCTGTCTAATTTTGTTAAATTTGAACAGATCACAGGCCAAGCTGGCTTGATAGGCAGGGAGCTCAGTGGGGTAACAACATAAAACCAGAACAAAGTGGCAGGCAGCAGCAGCCTCAGATGTCTAACGACAGAATGGCCATCACCCACCATCTAAGACAAAAAGGGACTTAAAAAATATATCAGAGAAATATCACTATCAAGAAAAAGGTATTAAAAATGAAGCATCTGTGCTCTGAGCCATTATAGGCTCTTGACAGATGTGATCTTACCAGCCTCCCACTGTAGCTGCAAATAAAGACTCAGTCTCTTTCATCTCCCCCGACAAGGATTAATGAGTACTTGGGATAGCTCTCAGACGAGCAAGCAAAGGCTGTGAACCTTTTCCAGCGCTGCAATTTATCTTGGGAAGACTATTTACATCACTTTTTTTTTGCAAGCTGGATTATGCTCTGACCCACCACATTAATCTCCCAAAATAAAATAATAATAATAGAAGAAAAAAAAAAGAACCTGGACAATTGCCAGGGATAAATTAATAACCATCTCGAATAGCCCTGCTGCGCAGGGACAAACTGCTCAACTCCCCTGCCACCCATGTCATTTGTAAGCAAAACTATTTCTTGTTTAGATGTTCCCTTTAAGTGCTCTGCTCAAGACTTTCAGTGATATTAATGTTAACATCTTGCAATGCTATAGCACTTTTACTCCTAAAGGCTGACAAACAACTTCTTCATGAAACTTAACTGATATGGAAACTAAATGTACCATGATCACCACGAAACTTAAGACACCTCTGACGTGGGACATGACAGCTTCCTGTGTGCTGTTAAAAGACATTAGATAGCAGCTTAAGGAAGTGATAGGAAAAGGCCAAAAGTATAAAAATGATCTATAATTTTCTGCACTGATTTAATAATTTCATTTAAGAGTGTTACTTTCTACTGAAGTGGAAGGAGTGCCCAAATACTGTGGCTGCCACATCTGGATAAAGATGCTCTTATCCTTTTGACTCAAGTGGTTAGCTGAAAACTTGGGGACTTGCCATCTGCTTTGGAAAAGGTGTTGGTGGAAGGAGAGAAGCAAGAAGAACCACACATGGAAAAAAAGAATGAAGTAAAATAGAGCCTGAACATGCAGGTACTAGCACAACCCAGAGTAAAGCCTAAGCAGCAGCAAGCTGTAGTGGAGTCAGGCTTTTCTCTGATGCAGTTTTGTCTACTGCCACAGAACGTACACAGCCCTATTTTCCTGAATGCAGAAAGAGCTGGACAACCAGTTTTTCTGCTCACCAAACCAATCTCTCTCACCTCATTCTCCAAAGCTTGCCCTTTCTCTAGGCTTTTCTCTGGGTTGTGCTACTACCTGCATGTTCAGGCTCTATTTTACCTCATTCTTTTTTTCCATATGCAGTTCTTCTCTCCCTCCACCAACACCTTTTTCAAAACAGATCTTGCAAAGCCTCTTCAGTGAGACGGTTCAAAATCCAGAGTGAACTTGTAGTGGCATCTATTCAACTGTCCCTTACAGATATCTTAAAAACAGAGGCTCCAGAGAGGTTTAACTGAACCAATACCAGTTTAGATCAAGTGTCAGCAACCTACGGCCTATGGGCTAGATCTGACTTGCAAATGTGGGCTTTGGTACCATGCAACACCTTCTGCAGTCACTCTTCTCATGCCGATGTGGGGATGAATGCCAGCTGCAGTGACAGTGCTAGTGCTCGCCCTCCTCCAACCCAGGGTGGGTCATTCTGGCCCACAGCTGGAAAAGGTTGCCTAACAAAGGTTTAATTGTTTTCTTTTCCTTATGGAAATAAGCTATACAGGCAGAAGGCACCTTTATATACATAACTGTGGACATAGGAAAGTGTTCTGTTTTAACTGTACTTGTGAGAGGCAAGGATTTCTTTGGGTATTATCTTTTATTGGACCAGCTGCATAGCTGGAACAGAGTTAGACTAGCTGCTTTCGAATGAAAGACATTTTTCTTCAGGTCTAAGGAGAAAAGCTAGCACAGCAACAGTCATGTGCTGGCTTTTCTCCTCAGACTTGAAGGAGAATGTCTTGCATTTGAAGGCTTGCCTAACTACCCCAACCAGGCAGTTAGTCCCATCTTTTATTGGACTAAAGAAATTGCCTAAATCGCTTTATATTGTCTACAGAAATCCTTGCTTCTCACATAATTCCTGGATCATCATGGTTATAATATCATTCTAACACTACCTTAACTGTACTAGCACAGATAAATTAGTATAGTTTGTATGTGCAGACAAGCTTATAGGGAAGTAGAGTATTTTTTATCAGCTGGAATTTGCCCAGAACACTAGGGTTAACATACCTATCTTTGGAAAGAAAAAGAAGTGCTACAGATCTTCAATAAACACAAGAGATAAGAACCAACATTTCACATAACACTCAAGAAGTAGCAAAATAGTGCACTCTAATTATGTTAGGGTTCAATTCGGACTCCGAGTCAAGAAAACTAATGCCTCTGAAAATCAGCCCTTGAAGGTCTCGAGCTGACTTTCCAAAAATTAGAAACTAATTTTATTATTAAAGTGAAACATTCACCTGTCATAATGAGAGCCCAGATATAACACCACAGAAATCTTGCACTAACAAATTAAGTTTATAAAGTGGAATTGAGTCTAAATATGGAGTGAACCTTGCTAATTTAGTTTCAGTCCAAGCCAAGCAAGGCTGGAAGAGTTCCTGGAAGTCAGATTTAATAAAGTAGAGGGTGAGGGAAGGAACAGGGGGAAAAGATAGTTTTATCTGATGCTAATAATTTAAAAACATTGTTATCAGTTCCACAATGACTCCAACTATTATTTAACCAAAGGTTGCCTGTTTTTCCCTAAAAATTTCAAACTTTACAACATGCAAAGCCTGCAATTTAACCAGCTCTGCTGCATACACGCACAAAGGCAAATCAGAGTGTTTTAATAAAGTGATGTACTGTCAGCTATACAGCTAAGGGTATTTCTCTTCAATAAAATATGTGATTTTTATCCTTATAATCCACTGTATTTATCTTTGGGGTAGAGGATAGCTGGTCCACAAAGTGTAGTTTAGGCAAATTGCCCATTGCCTGTAGCAAGAAACAGTGTTGTATACTTATGCTTTGGAGCAGGATTATGGCTTCATATCTTCTTTTCCCTTTCTGGGGGGAAAGTATAACTCCTGAAAGCAGAGAAGAAGCAGTCACGACAATCCCCTCAACAGTGACGTTTTATCTAGTCCTTACATGTCATGCAGGAGAGGCAGCTTCCCTTGCATGGTGCACTCCATGGCAAAGACCAAGCAAATTCTGGACACAAACTAAAAGAATGGTTTCATTTGGTGGCTCCAATCAAGCAAAGATCAGGAGAAAAGCAGAGTTCTTTTACCTTTGATTTGACAGCCAGAATGATTTTAGGCAGGGCAACAATCAGGCATTTCAATGCAATGGTGAAGTACTTCAGTACAAAGTCTGTGATCCCCACAATCCACATCAGGTCAAAGAAGTCCAGCCTCTCCAGATTGGGTTTCAAAAAAATAAGGCTGAAAAGTATAACAAAATCTACACGTCAATGAATGGCATATCATCTGCACTTCAACAAAACAAGCTTAGCTCCAGTATGAGGAGAGGGTCTGGGGCTCCACCAAACTTGAACACAAGTTATTAAGGGGAATAAGGTCATGAAGGACACATTTGTCCTGTTACCACTCTGCGTCTCTTACCCACACCTGTTCTTATCCAGTCCCAGAAAGGTCATCAGATTTAGACTTGCCTACTTTCACTGAGGGAACCTGTCATCCACAAACCTACTGTAAGAGTTAACCCCTGCACCCAGGATGAAAATAGACCCTTCTCTCCATCCAAAAGCAGCAATTTTGGTCTGTAGCCTTGCCCTGTCAATTCTATTCCTGAAAGCTACCTAAATCTCTCCATCTTTATTGAGAGGAATGACCTGAGATGCACGCTATGCTGTAGTCCATGTCATTGGTAGCTGTGACTCAGTGGGTGCGTCTACATGTTCAATTAATACACCATAGTTATTGCACATTAAATTTAGTACTTGGATAACCAAGTACTAAATCAATGTGCAGTAACTGGTGCTATGGCACAGTAGCACCAATTCACAGGATTTTACAGACGCTAACTGCGCAGTAGCCTAATACTACTGTGCAGTAGCATATTAGGACAGATTTTGCCTGGCATGCTACTGCACAGTGTTATTGGGCTCTGTGCAGTTAGCGTCTCATGTAGAAACACCCAGCAGGAACAGCAGGGGCCAATTCAAGACCATCAAGCTCTGCTAACCAGTCCCAAAGGCAGATTCTGGCAAAAAGCAGAATTACTCCAGCTGCAGCATTTCCACCCCCCAGCACCAAGCTGCTCATGCATGTAAAACAGGCAGGTAAAAAGGACATCACAGTCTTTGTTATGGAAGAATATTCAGGACCATTGTGCATGGTATGACAGTCCTGGGACAGGGGCTCATGCACTTCAGGAGCAGAGTAAGAACTTGATAGCAGAAATCAACATTTCCTATATTCCATTAAGCACAAATTAATGGGATGTGGGCAACGGTGGGGCAGCAGGGCCCACCATGCAGACTCTGCAATGGCAAAAGCCCCAAAGGCAGCAGAACCAGCAGGAGTCTGTTACACAGACTCTAATAACTGGATTCCAGAGCACTGCCTACAGGATGGGGGCTCCTTGTGCAGTGCAGAGCCCAGCAGCTCAAACATAACAGTACGGTGCCAGGCACAGGTGGGGAAGCATTGGAATACTCATGGTAGCACAACTGCTCTGATCTCCTACTACAGTTTGAGCCAGGGTCACCTTGGGGTATACAAGTCCACTCCAGATGTGGGCTAAGATAGCATGTACAGAGCAGCAGCAGAAAGATACCTTCCCTTTTTTCTCCTCCAAAATTCAGCATCTGATACTGGGCACTACTTGACTATCTGCTCCAAGAGTGGGATTATAAAGCTCCAGTACTTCATGTAATCATGGTTTGGGAACCACTACACTGAGTAACAGTGCAATAAAAATCATCTTCAGCAGTTAGAAGAGGCTTCTTTTCAATATTACTGTCTACCAGTGTCTCCTAAGAAAAGCAAAAGCCTAACTAAAAGAAAAACCCAATACCAAAAGCCTGAGTATGAAATTAAAATACTCACAACACTGGCACAGCACAACAGGTAAAATTAAATCCTAAAAACAGAAACAAAATCAGAAACATAAGGACTAAGTGTGGGCTAGAAACAAACAAAACACCCCAGAAAATAAAGAAATACATACATTTAAAAATGGTAAGAAATAAAAAATAAATAGCAGGGTCTAAGCTTAGAAACTTCCCCTGTCAAAGATGTTTGGCTGGAAGGGAGACCCTGCCCACATGCAGGAAGCCAGTGGGGCTCTGTACGGAGTTGCTTGAAGGATACGGGCTTTGATGCGAACTCTTTCC